CACCTTTTCCGCTCTATATTAAACCCAATGAGGGGTGTTACCTTCGATGGCGAAGGGGACCTTAAAAACTGGCTCAACAAAATCTTCGACACCACAACGGCCGATTTTCGACGAATCGCCATCAACAAATTGGTCGAGAGATGGGAGGAGCTCGTGAACAGTAACGGAGGATACATAATTGATTGATTTATTATTGTAATTATTGTTTTTTGGTTCAGATAAATCTTCGTGAAAAAACTCTACGAACTTATGTTACAACCCAATACATAACGACAGACGAAGCGCTCTATAATAGTAGGATTCTCACCAACTACTCCTATGAATGATCGGTCTTTTCATTGAGTTCCTACATGGGTGACATGAAGACTGGCTCCGCTCAATGCCGTCAAAAGATGGCCATTCGTGCCTTTTGGGCAGCCTTCTGCATGATAAATTGCTGAAGCTGGAGAAGTTGTGGATTATTGTTTACATGTGCTATGTGATGCTCAAGCTTATCTCAAAATTACAAAAGGGGATGAAATTTGTTCATTTCTGTCGCACAACAAAGGTGCAAGTATATAAATTTATATAAGATAAAAAACGTTTGAACCTAGGGGAAGCTTCTCGAACAAACGTTCAAAAAATCGTTTTCAAAAAATCAAAATTACTTTCTGAACAACCTAATAAAAGTTTACATTTAGCAGTGTGTGAACTATAGTTAGTAGCACTGGCTGAACTATAATAAAATTTATGGCAAAGTCAATGCTCACAGTTTTTTCATAACTTTCCCTTATGTGCTCTGTGTAGAAAAAAAAAGCGACAAAGGATGACTCAAGTCTTGAGGAATGCAGCAATGTATGAAAGGAGAATGTCTGATTTGAAGAGACGTTGCAGTACAGAACCAGTAGTAGTTCATAGAAGATCGATAATGTTGAACATACGAGCCTTACTGCGGAATAACAGATGATTACTAGGAGAGAATTAATTCACTCTCTGTATAATGGTCCACGCACTACAGTAACATTGAACTTCAGTTTCAGAAGGAGGCAGCTATGCGGTACTGCGTTCTTTTCAAACATTTTCCACCGGATTCTGGTTTCTCAAGCTTGCTCATAAAACTTTGTGAACTTCAAGGTTTCTGCTACAAAAATGTGATCATGTTCGAAAAAGCATTGCTGTAAAAGTTCCACTTGTTTTCAGAACTCATGAAAACAGTACCAAAATCACCAATGATCAATGATCTCTTTTACTGTGTAAGCATCCGAGACCTCCAAGCATTAGAACTGCAACAAACTCCATCGTGTATCCGTAGAGGTTATCCGGTCATCCCTCTGTTGTATGACGTGTCCAGCCCACCTGGGTGCATGATAGTTGCGGTAGATAAATGCTGTACAGTAAATGTATGAACAAAATTCCTAGCCTTGCCACAGCGCGCCCAATGTTCGTTGTTTTCTTCACTGCTCCGCGATGTGCTTAAACGCTCCTCACGTCTCGGGTTTGGTCTGTCATTATAACAACTCTCCAAGCTAGATACACGTAGCTAAAGCGTTCAATAAACAGTTCGTTACTCATGAATATCATCTCATTAGGTTCAGTTTAGATCCTATCTTTTCACAAGCGTTGTCGAACACGGACACCATTCGTTCGGCTTTGGTGTTATAAAAACTACCTCATCTCAAAGCGAAAGTGATGTTAGAAGTGGCCCGTGGGCCTGAAACAAAGAAGACTATACGAATAAATACATTGAGAGTTGCGCGCCATATCATTACGAATCTTTCTTGAGTTCATAGTGGAGCATAGTATGATGAAAAACTTTTTGTTGAACATAAAAATCGAGCAAAACCTAAGTGTACAATTTCTCATGAGTGTAGAAGAAAACGAGAATGCTCAGAAAGTTAGACTGTACATAGCATTTCCGATGAAAATATAAGAGAACTATAAGGATGATGGCTAAAAATTTGTCTCGAACATATGTCACTTGCAGAGAAGGCAAGAAAGTAAACAATTAACAAGAATGAAATTTAATGCGAGGAATTACAATATTGACTACATTTTCGGCAAAATACCTACAAAAAAAGCACAGCTTATTATTGAGCGACTTCTGTCGTTTGACTTAATCACGGGTAGTTCAATCAACCAAGATACAATCAGAAGGTAGACTTCGAACAATGTGTAATTTACAAATCACAAAATCATGCTTGGAATACAATGCAGCGTTGTAAAATGCTATCATTCAGACAGAATACACATGTTGTCATGGCCGCCATCACTATATGCACTGCCACATAAATTTGGTCATCTCATTCAAAAAAGCGCAAACATTCGAAGGGAGGGCAAGTTCCCATAGATACTACGCATTGATCGCAAGCTAGTTCAGTAAGTCACGTCACTGCCCAGTTTCGCCATCATGTGTGCAGAAAATAATCAAACTGAAGAGATATGAGGGACCAGAATCAATGGTGAATTTTCAATTGCGGCATCACAAAAGGGATGGCCCGTCTCTGAATCTCAAGCTAGCACGGCATCCTCTAGGCGTAATATTCAGGAATCAGTGTTAATCTCACGAATTAAGAAACGAGACAGGAATAGGTTGGAGTGATGCCCATAATTTTCACTCTGCCCAGGAAGAACGGAAGAATCAAATCAAGCGTCGAATGGCGGAGCGCAGAGACTGGAGAATTGTCTATCTCCCAAGCGAGAACGGCATCTCCGCTGAGGCTTTAGACCGAAGAATTGTGAAAAACGAAATTAAGAATTTATGAGAATTACGAAAAATTTGTGGCTAATCAGAGAGATGTGTGTGCAGGTAGGTATCTTTTCCTACAGAGCACTGAACTAAAACCAAAAAGATGACTGCAGTTGTTATCATCTTCCTCAGCAGTCGCCTCACCTTGTAATGGATATGGACTAGACGCAAAACATGGGTGGTTCCCACCCGAAGCAAAAATGTCACAAGCGTCAGTTTGGATGGGCATTTATTAAGGCTGTAGAATATTAAGGCGTAATGTTTCGAAGACTCCCAGAAGAGACCGTATTTACTGGAGTGTGACGCCAGTTTCTATAACGATATAATGGACAAACGGATGACAGCACACAAATAAGAGGGAACAACTATCGCATGTGATTATGTCAAGCTCCTGGCAGCTCGAATTAAGCAGCAATTTTTCGAAAACAATATATCGAAACCGGGATTGAACCGCCCCATTCACAAAAACTACAACCGTGCGATCCCGGCTGTTTCGAACAGCCGAAAACATGTGACAAAGGCGATAGTTTTGACAGCCAGATAATCGGTAAAACGGACCTAAACAGCATCTTCTCTGCACTTAGTGAAGAAAAGGAGCAGCTTGGTGCTCAGACGCTAACTAGACGCTGGAAATAGATCGGTGAGAAGAATGGGGTTGACTTAACTGAACACTAGAATATTAGTTTCTAGCTCTTTACTGCTTATTTCATTTAGAATAAAGAACTTGCGCTTTTTTGAATGAGATGATCCAATATTTAAAACGTTGACCTCAAATTGGCTTACCTAATTCCTAATATGCGACTACTCATGTACAAGAGTGCGTTGTGTAGTGCAAGGCTCGAAAGGATAAACAAACCAACTCCATAAAGATTTGGTCCACAGGCTGTGAGAAATCTGCACAGTTCAATTGATGGATTCTCCAAACAAATATGAATAGCGAATTCGAGGTCAGTGTTCCGAATGCGGTGGTACATTACCTAACTCAGAGGCTATGACCACCAGGTATCTTCTTCCAGGAAAAGAGTTATTCAGCGGTCAAGAGCCATAAGGTAGCGGAAGCTTTCTTCATTTGAACGCACAATGGGTTTTGAAAAGAAACCTCCATGGTGCAGCAACTGAGCTCCAGGAACTACGCCATGATTCTGCAACCTCTGAAAATAGGAAATGAGCGGCAATCAAGTTCATGAGACATAAGATTAAGCATTCAAGAAAGGAGCTATTACCTGCTGCCCATCGCTGGAATGCTCCTTAAGAGGAGTTGGATGAGAAGTCAGAGAAGCACTTGAAACGGCACGACCTTGTGAAAGCACCTGTTCATAAGGTGTCAGCGCAGTTGCAGTCATATCAAGATGATGATCGTTTATCGATGAAGAGCTCATCACGAGACCATCCTTGAAACAAACATTTTCAATTTTCAAACATTCCAAGAGTGTAAGTCCTGAAAAAATTGCAGAGAACAAAATGAATAGAATCAAACTTTCAAAAAAATAAAAATGAGGGCAGCAAGCAGCATTAAAGATCTATGTTGGACTGCATACCAAGTAGTGGCCGGATAGGTCGTTGTAAAAGAATTCAATACTCGGAACGAATACCACATGTCAAAAAGGGATAAACAACAGCAACAAACAGCAATTGATTCTGAACTTTTTTAATGCCGAGTATGAAATTTTTGAGGGGTTTGTGCTAATTTTCTTTGTCATCTCATTTCTCACTTCCATTCGAGTGGTTTCCTTGCTTTCACTGAGCAAAAAACGGTTCAGTTAACCAGCTCTAGATGATGTCAGAATTGAAGAAAGCTTTGAATCAGTTCCTTTTTCGGAATCAGAGTAGTACCTCTGTTATCATGAAGATGGCGGCATTTTCGTAAACGTAGTTCACGAGAAGTACTTTAAAATTCTAAAGAGGTCGACTTTACGGGCTCATACGAGCACTAGACAGTTAAGCAAGGTAGAGCAATGAGTTCACCTTCCAGTTCTTTTCTGTCGTCCCTCCATTGAAACCAATGGCAGAAACGGATTTACGTAGAGTTGCCTGCTGAGATACTGTAGGAAGCCTAAATCAAGTACGATGATAGTAGGAAACCAGTGCCTCCGTAATATTTGCTCTACGTTCACATTGCTTACTACAAAGAAATACCTTGTTCAGCAACACTCTCTTGCATATACTTTTATAGTGCTAGGGTAAAGTCCTTCATTAATGCTACAATCGGTAAGTGTGGAAGGGTTTGTCAAACTGAACTGTCAAATCTTTTGAACTGCGAAAACGTGAACACCATTTGTACAAATCCTTAGGGTAAGATTGCATTAATAAGTATCAGTGCACGCGTGTTGAAAGAATTGCATAGAACCAGTATCCTTTAGAAGTCTATTTGTTCACTTCAAAGTACTTTGTCAAGACATATACAGCGGCAGATTGAGCTCATTACCAGATTCAGAAAAAGAATGGCAGTTTCGTCAGCCGCTTCAGTTGTTTCGCTGAGTTTGTGTGGTTTTCTTCATCTCTCGTTTCTCCCACATTTCAGAATAGCCTCTGTTGGTATTTCTTTGATGATCCTCATGAGTGTCGTGCGTGAAGAATTGGTGGTTGACAAATAGTCCGTGTTGATTGGATTGGCCATCAGGAACTCGATACTATAGTATTAGGTTGATGCATAACTAGTGCGGATTTTTTCCAACAAATTCTACTCAAAGAAACGATAGAAATATTTAGCAAAGACATGTTCAAATAATTACTTTGGAACTTATTCACCATCTAAGCCAAGCACTGCTTCCCGTTTGTTAGGCAGTCGGATTCCATAGGCAAATGTCTCGATTCCTGGAGGCGATCCACGCCTTGACGTCGGCCATCAAGCCTTCCATCTCGTCGTAAGTTCTGTTCCCTTGCCAGTATTTCAACAGACGGATTGACGTGATAATGCACAGGAGTTTTTGTAGGTGAACCAGGGCGCTTGTAGAGGCAGATTCCATCTTTCAATCGGCTTTGGCTGACTGTTCCATCGCCAAGAAGTTCGTTGACATCACTTTGTGACTGCGCCATCTTCCAAACGTTCTCAAGGATAGGGCATAATGTGGCGTATATGACGGCGACTTTCTAGGCATACATATACCTGTTAAAGAAAGGAAAAAGATTATCTCTATAGTCCCGAATTCAATATTCAAATTGTATCAAAAGAAGCCGCGAAAAAATCCGCAATAATTATGTATCAATTTATTACTATACTTTCATGCCTCTGAGTTGGTTAACTGAGCACATGCAAAAAGTAAACATTTCAATAACATCTCGCAGCTGAATTACCGGACACACTATGAATGAGGATCTATAAACTTGCAAATACTTACAAATGGTTGTTATTTAATCCCAATTAGCAAAATGGTAAAGTTACGTAAACACCCACTCTCCTACACATGTGTTTTAAAGCATTCAATACTAACGCCAATTTCGGCATGTATGGCTGAATACCAAATAGTTAAACCCCAGCACTTCCAATTCACACTTTTTTGTTCACAAACTTCGCTTTCCAAAATTGTTGTACCCGGGAAGCTGCGACTGCAGTTCTGAGTCAAGCTCATAAGAGCGATACACACCTTTTGATGATAAGGGTCTATCAAACTTTTTTGGCTGACAGATCCCGTATCTCAGAGCGCGTTGGGTTTCCTTTGTGATTCAACAGCGCTTAAATGCATTACTGGCCTCAAGAAAGACTGCAAGGCTACCTGATGTAGAAATAGTACTAGTATTCTCACAAACAGTCTAGAAACAAGTAAATGCCAACGAAGGTATGTTCATGAGGCCAAGCAGGTATCGATAACAAGTTTCACCCTTCCACACCATCTGCAGTAGGTGCGCACCTAGCAACACCACACTTCTAACAATATATGACATTTTATGGGTGCTCTCACGTGATTCTTTGCATGTGAACTAACTTTTCTTGAAAGTATTGGAAGAAATGGCGTTAGAAAGAAAAGGGAGCCCACCCTTATTCTAACCCAAACCAGATCGTCTCAGTACTCACAATCTTGCGTGTGAAAAGAACCAGTAGACCAGATATCGTTCAAAAGTAGGAAAAAGCACAGTAACAATCATAAAATGTTCTACTAAAACTCACTTGTCGGAGAACGTGGTGTTGTTAGCCATTGAATGTTGATGTAGAGCATAAAAATAATTGAATGAGGAAAAGTAACAATTAAATTCATCCAAGTGATTGTAATGAGCACAAGCCATTTTACTGCACTCCTTCTGCACGTTTCGATGGCCTGTGCTCATTTGCCAAAAACCAGGCTCTGATATGGGGCTGGACTGATAGCATACAACTAGCCAGGCTATCCCAGAGTAGAAAGTTTGACAAGTGGTATCGGTTCCTCCCGGATACTTCCTAGCCACTTGAATGCAGGCTTTCGGCCAAGCCGATAGCACTCGAATAATGCTCTCCTTCTCTTCGTTTTTAAAATGACCGGCCGTCTCATTACTTTCACACTTAAACGCTTCCATAAAAGAGAAGAACAGTGGTTATTGATTTCCGACCAAGCAAACAAATACTCTTGCACACCTTGTATGCACCCAGACCACCATGAGGAACTATTATCAAGATGTGTATGTCTAAGCAACACGACTCATCGCCTCTGTTCCGACTTGATTCAGAAGTTCTACTCTAATTGTGCTCATTTCACACTCTTTCGTCCCGCTCTCACCCTCAATTCCCTCCCGCTCCTCCCCTCCGCTCTCAGCCCAGTCACTTCACCCCTATCATCAGTATTCCCATCTTTCTTCTGAAACTACCAAATTTAAACGTTCTAAGTTCCTAGGTCCAAACTAACGATTCTCGCTCGCTCCCTGTAGGCAGAGCTTAGTCCTGCAACCTATCTGTGTTCCCATCCTGCCTCCCTGTACTCATACAAAGTGCTATGAATTTATGTGACATACGCACAGACACACATACACAGATTAGCGCGTTGAATATGCATTTCGTTAACAATGAATATGNTCCATGTTGCCTGCCAGAAGCTCGCAAATATGAAATCGGGAAGTGTGCGAGAAATAGGCTGAATCATAAACACAAAACAAAGACGTGTATTCAGCTCTGCGAATGCAAGGCGAATACTCCAGAGCATGAATAGCCGCCACGTGCGAACAAAGTTATTGGTCACTTGGTGACCCATAACAAGCCGAATCGAAGTTCTAGTCTTAATGACATTTCTTTTAAAGTTTACATCAATGGGACTAATGTTTGCACCACGCGAGTTCACTCTTTTGTATACGTGGAGTCCAGACACCCACATGCAATACAACAGCTTCGCCGGTTTTCTTCACGGTAATACAGAAAAGAAAGATAGTTGGCAAGTTACAAATAAACGTTCCTCTTTGGAAACTCGGAACTGATACGAAAGCGCATCGAATCATGCGGTAATGACTATTACTAGAGGTCCCTTATCCAGCCAAAGCATCATGATTCAATTCCCATCTAAAAACACACATAACGATGAAGTCAGTTACAAATGTTAGGTGCATTCAAAACAATGGGCACCATCCATGCCTTTTTGGGAACAAATTACTCACAATTGTGGATCCGAATCTTTCCAACAGTATTGGCCTAGATAACCCAAACAACGATTTTAATCAATATGTCACAATAACAGCATATATTAGTTGCACACTATTACGAAGGACATTCCGAAGCCTTACGTTCATTAGTAGGAAATTGGATTCAACTTGGTCAGCACGATCTGACGTAACAAACAAAATAACAGCCAAAAAAGCCCTACGACTGTGTACGTTTACTAGCAATTCTGACAGGAACTGTCACCAGGGTGCAGAATCGCCATTAAAAAGCCGTAGCACAAAGGAGCGAGCACTAAGCACAAATAAGTGAAGGTTTTGGTCGCGCACTTCTCTTTTTTTTGTTGGTTAGCAAGGATCCCCTGGGTTTTCCCCGAATGGTCCTTGTTTCACTCACTGCTAGCAAGTGTGGCTTTCCAAAGAGAGCCCGGCTTGTTGAGACAGTGTGGGTCAAATTCCTCCACTAACGGGAAATCGATAGTGGTGCATCCATTTGGTATAGGATCAACGCTGTCCACTTCTGTGTGCCAACTAAGTTGTGCACAACTATCGATTGCTATCGATTGAAGGAACCTGGCACCACACATGCCCTGACGTGCGTGCGATGGCGTCAGGGACGCGTGAATACGAATTCAACCGCGACTTCGGGCGGGAGGATAAGGGTGACCCAAACAAGGGGCTACCATCCCTTCAGCTGGGAACTATCGAATGATTGTCTCTCCCATGGTTGAGAAGAGTTCTAAGCAACCACAGCGTTTGCAAAAATTCTGCGTTCGAAAGGAGCTAGTTTTAGTAACCGCAACTGTTTTGATACACTGGAACCATTACCTGCAACTGTTTTGATACACTGGAACCATTACCTTAAAGGCACGGTTCACGAAAAATGGTTTCGGAGATTTGCATATGGTTTGAATTCGACGCCCCCTCTGAAACCATTTGTGCGGGAACGAGGCCGGAAACGGCTGGATAGGGCACAATAAGGGGCCGGAGAGTGAGCCACGGTCGCCCTCCGCCCCTCGCTAGACTGACTACGAAATCTAATTGTTGTTCACCACTTTCGCATTAGAGCGAAGTTGGTGAAAAATCGATAAGCTGGTTGGCAAATTGCCAGGTTCAAGACTGTAGTCTAAATCAGCTGTTTGGGTGTGTTGTCTGCTATTGCAGACATTGCGTCGCCTTCGTGCACTCGCCCGAACACTCCCTTAACCGCCGTTCTCCTAATGTGAAACTCGTCNCCCCCCCCTTTCCTGCTCTTTTTTGACCCCTTCTATTTCTTTTTGTTCATCGTTTTTTTTTGCGCTTTTTTCGTTGTTATCGCTTTATTCTAGAGTAGTTCTATCAATCCCCGTCAAAAAAGGGTACCCTAAATTTATCGTAAACGGTGCCTTTAATTCAAAATGTCTCGCAAATGTTAGTTTCGGTATTCGCTGTGCTTTGATTTTTACAACTAACGATTGAATAACGGTGTTCCAATATTTCACAATTTTAATTCGTTAAATGAAGTCCTTCCAGAGTCACCGTCGCAGTTCGAATGCATACAGGGATATTCAGTAAACTGCAGTGGCCAGCGAGGTACAAGATTGTTCTTATTAACCCTGCTTGCCGCTGCTTTCGCAGTGATTTCAGTATTGACCAAGCAGTGGGTGCGGACTGTTGATAAAATGGACAAGCTAGGGTTTCAAAGCAGGACCCAATACTGTTAGCAGGCAACAGCGTCGCGTGAGCGCCTACCCACTGATAGCGAAATGACAAAAGTAGCATATATCCCCCTCGGCATCTATCCCTGCCAGCTTAATCGACACACATTTGACCTTAAAGTGGAGCACACTTTAAATAGAAGGCTAGACAGTGGAGAAGGGTTTGACCGACAAACTTATGGTTAGTTTGATATTCTTGCGCTTTTCATTCAAGGCGAAGCCAAAGAAGGATGGAGACTGACAGAAAACCCCACTAGGATGTTGCGAAACAACATATTGTTGAGTAGTGTAAAGACCACACCGAACGATAGGAAGTTTCGGTCCCATGAAAACAGAGATCTGGAAGTGATTTTAAGTTCCTATCTTCCTCAAATTTGAACAGGGAGTAGATATCACGACTAGTCTATCCGTGATCAACCGCATGGTAGCTAGCAAGGAAATAGGGTCTACTACTCTCTCGGTTTACTTGAACTCGGTTCCCTTAAATTGGTCGGATGCGTCGTTTTTCTGCCCTCGCCTAACGCACTCCCGTTCGATGTAGTCTTTGAGTGATGTGCTTCTCTCCAATGGGACCTAAACCACCACCACCACCCGCAGGCTTTACCAGAAGTGTTTTTCTCTGTGCTCTAACCTCTTGCTGTAAGGGACACAGAAAATGTTCATGTAGTCACGTAACCGAAAAAAAAGACACCGGCATTCTTTACAAGGAAATGATATCACTGATCAGTACCTCAAGATTTCCACAAGATCCAGTTGAAGGACGAAGAGCGTCTTCGACGTGGAAAAAGCCAGAAACAATACGACTGAGAGGAGGATGAGCTGAATTATTCACAGCATCAAGAAAAAAGTAGGAAAGGGCGATATTATTTCTCGTATTCAATAGTAGAACTACTGATCCCCATCAGATATGCCGATGGCGCATCACGGATCCTTTGAGGTTCAATCGCTTCTTAGTTATTGAAAATGACGGCCATTCACCTTGGTCCTGAGATAGAAGTAGATGAGGAACATTTGAATGTGAACCGCCTTTGTTCGGTGTTCGGAGACTGATTGCTGATGGTCTCAAGTGTAAAAGATCATGCTCCTCCTCGTGCATGTGGAATGAAACATGATGCGATAATTCCGGTTGATCCATCTGGAAAAATTGTAATAAATTTATTATTATTTTACTCCAAGAGCTTTCCTGTATTGGTAGCGTTTTCCATTCTACAATCGACACGAAATTTAACGAAGTCACCGCATGAGTGAACCTCACTTTAATTTATGGTCCTTTTTGGAGAACGTGGTACAGCTAAGACGCTTCGACGGAACACTGAAGATTATACGATTTGAAGATATCGCAGAGGAAAAATGCACCCCTTGAAAAAAAATTACACCACCAACTCCCTCTGAAAGCTAACACACTACTGTTCTC